CCCTAGAAAGCACAACTGCTGGTGTATACATCAGCTGAAGAAAATATCCTTGTGATGTGATTCCCTACTACATCATAAATGCAATGGATATAAAAGTTACATATATAAAGGATATAAACATTAGCATTCATCAGCAGAAGTAGGATTTTAAAAATTGCTGAATTAACATGAGTGTTGAGATCACAAACATTTCAATTTCCTAGCCATTAAGTAATCAATGTGACTTTAGTGCTGCATTGCTCACTACTTTTTTCTACAATATTTTTAATGGAACTTTAAATGTATACTCATTTAGCTTAAAGCATGAAATTTGTTTTCAATGCATCTTTTTTTTGCTAGCAAGACAAGAATACACTAAAAACCCTGCATCCTTCTTTTGTACGTATACATTTATTCTCTTAGATTACCTCCATTTCTCAACAAGCACAACAAAGACGCTAGTCATTGATTTTTATATTTCTATAAATATGCTTAATCACTTTTTAAAAAAAAAAAAAGATAGTTACATGCACTTTAGATCAATGAACTTAAAAGTTGAAAAAAACTTTAGCAGTGGCTTTTCAAAAGGTTATAATACTGCCATCTTTTTTCTTAAAGAATGCAAGACTCCAGTGCCTCTTGACTGTATTACTATGGTGTTACTGCATTTTTGTTGTTATTAAAAATATAAACAAACTGAAAATTTGCTTTAGTAGAGATGACCCTTAAAAAAAACAACACAGATTGCAAGCATTCAAACCATTACCCTAAGATCCAAGACGGTAAGTTTATTCCTGGATAGCAATAAAGGCCTATTTCACATTTTCCTTGCGGATCACAGTGCTTTTGAAGGAACGCTGTTAATTCCATGGCAAGCTTAACCACTGTCGCATACGTGTAGAATGTTGGAGGTTTGCCATTGCATTCATCAAACCAAACCGCTTGTCTATCAGAGTACAGGCTAGCTGCACAATTCACCAGTTCCTGAAGAGTCATCTCAGCCGCATCTCTTCAATCGCCCTGAAAGATTAACAAACCAGACTGCATTGTCACCTCCTAACTTTTAATACTGTGGTCAAATTATATAAGCACACAGAACGCTACCAAGAACGAAAAAAGATCCTTGGCAGAAAACGCAGTTTCACCACACCTTATATTGCACAAGCGTGAAGCTTAATACTTTTATCATTTCCCATGGGTCTTATCCTAAGGCCCAGGATACAGTGATTCACCAAGATTTCATTGCACAGAGGTAGTTTGCCCCTCACCGTTACACCTTTATTTTTAAAGCGAAGCACAACTGAATTAATAACTTCATTCACCCAACTCAATTCGTAATTTTCTCTTTAACGGAACTGTGAAATACGAATCTTGCCTTTGCAAGCAGAAAGCCCAACGCGTCGATGGCCAAGGCCTTTAGGGTGCTGCTGCACGCCTCTACCCCGCGGGCCCTCCCCACCACCGTACCGGGTACCACCGTACCAGGTGGCCGAGCCACGGACCCGAAGGCTCCGGGCTAAGGCCCCCCCTCTCCGCTCCGCTCCGCCCCGCCAGGGCCAGGACTCCGCAGCGGTCCCGAGCGAGGACAGGCGGCTCCTCCACACGCCGGCCACGCTCAAAGCCCCCCGTTTCCACAGACGGCCGGGGCGGGTGGCTGCCCCACAGGCACCGCGGGACCGCTCCGCGACAGACGCCATCACCGCAGCCCCGCCGACCACCACCGCCGCCGCTGGCCCCAAGGGGTTCGAGGCAACAACCGCGCCGCGCCCGTCCCCACCTGAAGAAGCGCCCAGCAGCACCCGCCGGCGCCCTCCTGCTCTGCGTCGCCACATAGCAACGGAAGGTCGACGCTTCTGATTGGCGGGACAGACTCAGTCCTGCCCGACTCGGCAGTAACGCGATGCTCTCATTGGCCGACGGCCGTCGCGGGCTTTGGGCATCCACAAGCTGCGCCCGGTCCGCCGGCGGCCTGCCTGGGGTGGCGCCATTATTTCTCTGAGGGTGAGAGCAACAGGCAGTGCGCCAGAGCCGTCCCAGCCCTCCCCAGCTACCCGGCAGCTCCATGCATGAGAAGGAGGCAAAAACAAACGCAGGGGCCGAGGTGAAGGGCAAGGTCACACTCACAGTTCAGTCGTCCGTCGTCCCCCCCCCCCCCCCGGAGGTGGTACGGGCCTTCCGGCCGGTGCTCTCGCCGTCGAGCCGGGTCAAGGACGCCATTTCCGGGGGGGACGGGTGGCGGCAGGCGGTAGCGCTTCGCTCCTCGGCCGAGCTGCGGCGGCGGGGAGCGGGGCCCGGGGCAGCCCAGGCCGGGCTCCCGGTGTGGGGAACTTCCCCCGGGGCTGGGCTGTGGGGGCGCCAGCGGGGAGCGGGCGGGCGGGGGCAGCAGTAAGGCAGCGCGGGCTGCGTGAGGGAGAGAGGGTGATGTGATGTCAGGCGCGACGTGATTTGCTGCAGCTTCGAGGGGCTTTCGGGGTGACTTCATGACAGAGAAAGCTTCGATGCGTATTGGCGGCGAGCGGAATGAAGGGAGAGAGAACGAGAAGACCATTTCATAACCATATTTAATGTTACGCATGGCAGAAGTGAGACAGCAGCTTTTCTACCGTTTTGTCACATTTTTTAAATGATAATGTGGCGCAATTGCACATTGGTGATACAGCAGAAACGGTTTCACAGTAAAACATTAAAATAATACAAATAGCGACGCCTAAAACCAGAGGAGTTTTCTCCCTCAATGTACTCATTGTGTGTGCGTGTGTCTGCTGTACGGGTTAAAAAAGGCCTGGTAACCTGAAGCAGAAATCCAGCTGTTGGAGAATAAAATGACACTTGAAAGGTAGCTCCCCTTTAACTTAAGGTTTTGAAAAATACGTACTAAAGATGAGGCATGTAGTGTATCTAAAAATTAACAGTGCTTACAGTAGCAGACCTTGTAATTTCACATGCATAACGGAAAGGGAAAAAGGTCTCACTTTATTGAAATGAGAATTAATGCCACTTAATGCTCAAATCACATTTAAGCGATTATTAACCAGACTTCAAAAACACCAGTTTTGTTGAAAACATGTTATTGCACAAGCTTCATTTACAGTCTGTTCTATAGACAATTTCAGATAAATCAGTAGACTTCTGCTTGCAACCTTGTTAGAAAACTGTGCACCAAAGTTTTTATCTCCAGTAGAAAGGGCTCCCCACAATATCTATAAACTAAGAGCCGGAGTCGTCCCTTCTGTTAAAAATGATTGCTCTTTTGAGGGCAGGAAAGAAGAAAGGTGAAAAACATTAATGACAGTTTTTGTCTTTTCTCACACTACTCCCTGGTTAATCTGGAAGAGGGGGCAGTCAGAGTGACTCCATCCTGTTCTTTTTTTGCTCAATTTACTGTCCAGATGAACTGTTAACAGTTCTGTTAAAAAAACCAAACTTGCTAATTAGACAGAAGAGATCCACATACACCCTCCAATATGCAGATCTGGGCTTTGGTGAAGAACACACAGTAAGAGCCCGATGCTCGTGAAAATCTAAATTCTCCCATAGGCTTGACTGCAAGTAGGTTCTGATTCCACTACACAAGGCAGTCTTGACCTCATTGTATGTATTTACATGCTTTCTTGAATTGGGACTTTTGTGTTGTGATTGTCTATTGGGTGCAATTGCTACAAATCCCATGTAAGAAAGCTCCCTTTTGAATTTAATCACCAGTGCTGTAATTCTCAACTATATGGAAGATGATGGGGAAGGAAGAAGCTCTTAAACTTTTTTTTTTTTTTTTTTTTTTTTTTTTTTAACAATGTCACAAACAATTATAAGGCCAAAATACACAATATTAAATAGAAAATCTAAAATTAAGCTACTGGTATTCAGTGAAAAAAACTGAGGTATACAAAATATTTTTACAATTGTGCGTAAATTTGCAATAGTTTTCAAAAGGTGCTTTTGCATTTTCAGCTAGTGGTTCATTGTCCAAGTGATCTTCATGTATACAAGTAACCATGTAATTGTGACCAGTTAAAAAATACAATGCATTCAATAGCTAATGTTTCATCAGAACTTTTTTTTTTAAAACATTACATTTATTGTAACAGCAGTAATGTAGTAAAATAAGACTATACCCAAACCAGCTCAATCTCAAGTTGATATATCGTTTTTACTGTTAAAAATGAAAAGTGACTTTATTTTTCTGTTTACTTTGGATGTTGACATATGAAGAGCACACTGAGCATTAGCTCAGACTTCAGAAATTGTCAGGACTTATCCTGGAGAAAACAAGATGTAAAACAGAAAAAAAAATGGCAGCGCCAAGTATTTTTCTCCTTCCATATCCTATTTGGAACTGATAAAAGCACACTAAGATAATATAATTACACTGGACTTCAAAAAAAGAATTTTAAAGTTATAAAACTAGAGAGCTTTTGGCTGAGCATTTCCCTGAGTCTTCATTATTTAAAATCATATGCTAGACATTATGTTCATAGAATCTGTTACAAAGGCCTTGATTAATAAAGGCTGTTTAGCTATATATGAAAAAGTTAGGTACTTCTAGTCTTAAAAGTCTAAGCAAGAACTGCCGAGTGAGCAATTTGATTCTTCAGAATCTGGTATTTTTCCTAAGGAGAAAAGCAAACTTCACATACTTTTGCATTAAGATTTCGATAATTTGAAATTACACCACACAATTCATGATTTGTGAGATATCTTTTGGGGCAAGATGGAAAGAAAAAACTCTGGGGCTGCTACATAATTAAAAAAACTTTGGTTTTTATAATATTTTATGAGAAAATAGAAGGCACAACTGTGCATCAAAACTATACGATTTTGTATTTTAATCTGCTTACATTGTTTTCATCAGCACGTCAGACTTTCTGTAAGTCTTTACTGTAAAGATGTGTTTTAGTAACCGTAATTAATTGGCTGTAATAAGCTTCCCGTATTACCTAAATGTAAGAAGACTATTAGCAAGACAGCATCTTTTAAAAAGGTACATTCAACAACAGATGAACTGATGTCCATCCACTAAAAATTCACCATTCTAGCTCTACAGGGTACTCTCCAGTGAGACACGCTGTGCAGTGACCAATCTTTCCAACACGTGATTTCTGGGTTTTAAGGCTGTTCTCATTCTCTTGTCTTGCTTTGATGCTTTCTTGCACGGATGATACCAGCCCTTCCACAGAAAGATAGACAACACTGTCTGCTCCTAAAGGAAATACAGAATTCATCAGTTAAAGCTGCAGTATTGTACCAAATGCAATGCTCTTCAGAAATGCAGTCGCATTATTGTAAGGATTATGATGCCAGGTGGATCACCTTACCTAAAGAGAATGGATATAAGAAATTATCAGACCATAATAAGCCTTGCCCTTCTCAAATTCTTTGTGCAGGGAGCAGACTCACTGAAATCTAGACAGAAGGTTCTAAGTTGGGAACCAATATGTCACACAGACTGCAAAAATAGAAGCAAAGTCCAGAGTGTGTATTAAGACTCCCTATAGTTTCCCAGAGTTACCCTGTAGTTTGTGTCTGGAAGCAGATGAGTGCGTGGCTGGTGCTTCCCAAACTGAGCACTTAGGACTACAAACCCTTGCTAGGTCTTGAAGGAGGGGAAGACCATCATGTTAAAAAAAAATTCAGTATGCAGTTCATGCAAATGTTCTAGCAGTAGGAGTTTGATAGCCTTTTCACATCATTAGTTGTCTATCATTTGCACTCATCATTTTCTGAGTAATACTTAAAAATCAGATCCTACAAACTTGAAATATTTCAACATGACTTCACAATAATTTTGGGGAAAAGAATTCATTGCAATATTAGACAGTGAGAGTAAGTATTTAAACACAGGAAATCCAAGTTTACAGTTTCCTAACTGTAACCACAGCTATGTTCTTAAACCATTTTTGAAAATATTTTGCAGCACAATAGGCCATATATGTAGATCTCCTCACTCACAAGCCTTCACATGACTGTTGCTGATAACCCTGTGAAAAGCACATTATTTACCACATCACAATCAACATAAGCTGTTGGTTCTTTTGTTCTGCTGCAAACATGACTCATTCTAGAGATCTGAGGATGTATTTAACATTCTTTGATTAGTTTCAAATGTCATGTCTTTCAAAGTGAAATACAGAATGCAGTTAAAATTATTTACATAAATTTAAATTTGTGGAAAAATCAGTGGGTGTTTACAAATTCCAAACATATTTTTATGAATACCTCATGAAAGTGAAACTACATTAGCTTTTCATTACAGGTCAAATTTTCACCACATATTTTCTTCCTGGTATTTTGCCTAAAGTTGTTCATTGTTGTAAAGACTTTCTGTAATTGGTTTGCGTGGCAAGGTTTTGGTAGCGGGGGGGTACAGGGGTGGCTTCTGTGAGAAGCTGCTGGAAGCTTCCCCCATGTCCAACAGAGCCAATGCCAAACGGCTCCAAGACAGACCCACTGCTGGCCAAGGCCGAGCCCATCAGCGACAGTGGTAGTGCCTCTGGGAGAACAGATTTAAGAAGGGGGAAAAGTTGTGGGGCAACAAAAACGGCAGCCGGAGAGAGGAGTGAGAACATGTAAGAGAAACAGCCCTGCAGACCCCAAGGTCAGTGAAGAAGGAGGGGGAGGAGGTGCTCCAGGCGCCAGAGCAGAGATTCCCCTGCAGCCTGTGGTGAAGACCATGGTGAGGCAGGCTGTCCCCCTGCAGCCCAGGGAGGTCCACAGTGGAGCAGATCTCCACCTGCAGCCCGTGGAGGACCCCACGCCAGAGCAGGTGGATGCCTGAAGGAGGCTGTGACCCCGTGGGAAGCCCATGCTGAGCAGGATCCTGACGGGACCTGCGGATCTGTGGAGAGAGAAGCCCACGGAGCAGGATTTCTGGCAGGACTTGTGACCCCACGGGGGACCCACGCTGGAGCAGTCTGTGCCTGAAGGACTGCAGCCCGTGGAAGGGATCCACGCTGGAGCAGTTCGTGAAGAACTGCAGCCTGTGGGAAGGACCCACATTGGAGAAGTTCATGGAGGACTGTCCCCCATGGGAGGGACTCCACGCTGGAGCAGGGGAAGAGTGTGAGGAGTCCTGCCCCTGAGGAGGAAGGAGTGGCAGAGACAATGTGTGATAAACTGACCGCAACCCCCATTCCCCATCCCCCTGCGCTGCTGCAGGGGGTAGGTAGAGAATATGGGAGTGAAGTTGTGCCTGGGAAGGAGGGAGGTGTGGGGGGAAGGTGTTTTGAGATTTGGTTTTATTTCTCATTACCTTACTCTGGTTGATTTGTAATAAATTGAGTTAATTTTCCCCAAGTTGAGTCTGTTTTGCCCGTGATGGTAATTGGTGAGTGATCTCTCCCTGTCCTTATCTCAACCCACAAGCCCTTTGTTATATTTTCTCTCCCCTGTCCAGCTGAGGAGGGGGAGTGATGGAACGGCTTTGGTGGGCACCTGGCGTCCAGCCAGGGTCAACCCATCACAATTGTACTGACTGAAAATTAACTTACCTCTTTGGCTCCTGATTCTCTCAGTAGTTTTATTATGGGTGAAATGGTATTGCCCCTCACAATTGAATCATCAATGATAACAACTCGCTTGCCTTTAAAATTATCAGACAGAACGCCGAACTTCTTTGCAACACCAAGTTGCCGTAACCTCATATTTGGCTGGATAAATGTTCTTCCTACGTATCGGTTTTTACAGAGTACTTCAACATATGGTAGTCCGCACTGTAAGCAGGAGACAGTTAAACAGAATTAGCATCTAAAGAACTGTTTTTTCCTCAGTTACTGTTTTTTTAAAGCAACCTTGGGATTTAGTATGACTTCACAGTAACCAAAAAAACTTTGAAATACCTTAATATAGTGGAATAATGACAGAAAAAACAAGTGCAGATGACTCAACAGGAGTTCCCAGTATACTCAAGATATAAAGCTTTATCAAAACAAAACTCTAACGGCCCATGCCATTATACTCCACTAGAAAAAGAGATATGTGTAAATATGCTTGGGAGAAAAAAAAGGCAAGTTAACATATACCTTTTGAGCATAACCAAGAGCTGCTGGGGTTGCAGACTCTGGAACAGTGCTGACTAGGTCTGCTTCCACAGGTGCTTCAATAGCAAGCTGCTGCCCGCATCTTCTCCTGACTGAATACACCATCTGACCTAAGAACAGCAAGAAGTGTTTTTTCTGGTATACATAATACAGATTTCCTCTCAGTTTGCTGTACAAATTTCTGTGGCAAGTTGCAGGCATAGAAGTCAGTGAGAAAAGCTCTAGAACTAATAAACAGTCACTCACATAAGGTGATTTTTTATTTCCTTCCATAATGTCCTATTTTAACATTCACATTCATGTCACTACACAGAGAATTAAAATCCAGTTTGCCCTAATCGGGTAACTAAAGGTCCTCTGTATGTTACAAAATCTATTTATAGGAGGAAAGAAGTAGAAATTATGCCTGCCTGTTCATAATGTGCATATTCTATTTTTAGAGTCGTTTCTCCAGCAAAGTTTGTGCAATCCTTCAGTCTGTCTGCCTCTGCCTGCTTATTAACTTTGAATCAGTTGGCAAAATTGACCCCAAATTTAGTAAGGGGATAAGGGGCCCCAGAAGCTTCTAAGGTCCTAAAAAATTTGCAACATGGGAGGGAACTGAAGGTATCGTGATGAGATGAAGCACAGCAAAGGGTACAGCAGCAGTACTAAGGAATGCAAGAAGTGAGGATATTGAAGGGTAAGAGGATCATGAAAAAAAGGGATGTGGGGTAAAACTGGCTTTATAAAGGTGGGGAACTGTATAGGATCAACAGATGGCATGGCCATAGAAAACAAAGAGCTTGTTTGTTATATATGAGAGTTCTGGCTAATATCTTGTCATTGAGACAATTTTTGAGGGCTTCTACTGAAATAGCAATAAAAGCATTAGACTGACAACCCCAAGTACTTAGATAATGCATAGATTTACAAGTTATATTAAAGGCATCTTCCTGAAATAACCCTTTCTTGCAAAGAAAACACCGCAATGAAGTTGTTTTGCAGATCCTATTTCATAAGTCTAATTTTTAGAAAGTTTTCCAAGAACCAGTAAAGTTCCTTTCTTAAGTCTCTCATGTTTAAGGGATATTTCCTCTACCTTAATTATGTTTGTGGCTCTTTTCATCCCATCCATAGGAGTACGCAGGCAGCCTGACTGAGGCCATATGCACAGCCAGGAACAGGAAGGTGATATTACATGCTCCTCCTGATGAGTTTTATCTCCTCAAGAACTGTGCCAACCCATTCTGTCCCAGCCCTGCTCTGCAAGCTCACATTCAGTGGTACCCTACTATGATCCCAGATCCTCTCCAGAGTCATTGTTCTCGAGGATAACGTCTCCCACTATTTAGGGAAGAGCTTTGTACATTACGTCATCTTACCTTCAAAAATACTGTCTGGTCTTGCAAAATAAACATATTCAAAGATGCAGAATGCTGACGGATCTCCTTCAGGTCTTGGTACAACATCCAGTGTCTGGACATCATATCTGGATATTTTCACAATCTCTCCAGGAAGGACCTCACGATAGTACCTTGAAAGAAAAATACATAGCATTTAGAAATGTCCTGAACCTGGATGATAATTTTGAAATACAAACAAGGTTCAACTGACAGGAAAAAATGCTTTTGAACATCCTAACACGACAGTTTGCTTCTATCTTAGGATTTGACCTGCAGTGTTTTAAGACCAACATACTAAGACAAGTGACCCTTAGTAAAACAGTCTGAATTAATACCCAAAAGCAGTAAATTAATATTTAGTACCAGAGAATTATGGTATTCTTTCTATATGTGAGATGTACAGTACTCGGTCTAGTACAGCCTTAATTGAGATTAAATGTATTTTAATAATTTAGTCCTGGATCAATACTAGAGGACTTTTCTATGAAAGCTAATAAACATTATAATGCAATATAAAAAACATAATCAAGAATAAAGATGGTAGCCAAAAAAATCCTGCCCTGCAAGCCAATATCTAGAGAACTGTCTGTCTAGTGGTTACAGGCAGCTACCCCTGAATGGCATAAAGCTGACTGGAAATGTACATTCCAATTCTCATACCTGAAGAAATATGGAGTAGTATTAGGTTTATTATGTGACAATATTTAACCTTATTAAACATTTTTCTAGATCCTTTAATGAGTCCTCAGGTGGCTATTCTAACAATTCCAATCTAAAACTATCCAAAAATATTGGAATAATCTGGAGATATAAATCAGAGGTGAGCAAATCTGATTATTCACTGGTCAGATACTAGCATTAGCAGGCAGCAGCACTGGCTACAGCAGAAGTTTAGACAAAATTGCCTTTTTAGAAATCCACAGGCTTCAGCTGATGGTTCTACATGGTAAGCTTCTCTTAACAGAGAATTTGAAGTTTCAGAAAACAGTTATTCTTATGCATATGTATAATAAATTGTGTCAAGAAACCCCCTGTTACCAACAGCTAATAGTTCCTACGGAGACAGGGCAGAAGTTACAGCAAAATGACACAAAACACCACACCTACAACAAAACATTGCAGAATGGAATAAAAGACCTCTGAAGTACAGTCATGCTGCTTCCTGATTTTGCTTTACATTTCTTTTTATTTGGTAGTTGTGTTCTTAATGCAATTTTTCACAGTTTTTTATTTGAAGAGGAGCCGACTTTACTTATTAGTCTAGTCCCCAAATGCACATTTTTATAATGTCTGATTAGGAAATTAAATATGCTTCCTCATAATCTTTCTTACTTTAAATATGTTCTAGTTCACAATTGCCTTCCACTCCAAACTTCTAAAGATCAATTTGCAGTCTCCTGAAAAGCCTCTTGCCCTTCTCTTTTTGTCCAGAGAAAGTATCACACCTTCCTTTTCAGACTATCTTAGCTAGAGAGGTAACATGAATGTCATCTCATATTTTGGCTCTGATGGGTGTTTGCACGCATGGAAATAGTTTCAGGCGCCCATAATTTTTTTCAAACAAGGACGTTGGCTTGTCAGAGCACATGCTACAGCTCAGGTTAGTCCAGCTGGTGAGCTACCAGTGTAACCTTTCTGTAGTTCAAGAATTATTTTTTAATACAACGATTCTGCTGCAAACAAGGCTAAAATTAAAAATAACCAGGTTTAATGCAACAAAGAAGAGGCATTTACTTTACAATAGTAAAGTTGTCTTTACTGCTACTTTCCGAACATATAATTATTTTACATTAACCTGTTCAAGAAAATAAACTGGCAAAAAACCGGCCCGGCACCCCCCCCCCCCCCCAAACACCCCAACAAACTAATCCTTGGTGTCTTTCACGTTGCTATATGTTATGATATTTGGCAATTTGAGGTTTAATATTTAATCGCTGCCTGAGGAGAGCTTTCAGATGAAGTGAGAATTGGGGCACTTACTCTGCACCGATAGACAAAAAGCTACAGGATTCAGAAGAGACTACCCATCCTTCTGTTTCACTGTTATCTTTTCCTGAAATGAAAGATTTCAGTTAGAGTCGACAATTCGTGTTACCATTACCCCCACACACAATCGCATTTCTACTGCAGTATCTGGCTTGCTATGGTTTAGGTTGCCAAGTGCACAATTAAAGACTGTTGTAATTTCTAACTAAAAGGTATAGCATTCCAAAGTTTATGTAATATTATTTAAAAACAACAACAACAACAACAACAACAAACTTAAACATCATAAACATGTTCTAGGCAGAAGTGGAAGTAACAGTTCATGAAGACAGACAATTCAGATAACTACCTTTGTTATCTCAGCACTCTTTCAAACTTTTCCAATTCTAGTACAGTGACTTTAGATATACATAATTACTTTTGTTCACACAAGAAACTCCTTACTTTCCCTATGTTAAATGTGTTGATAGATAGATCCTTTTGATTACAATGGATGCTGGATTGCACTCCAGTAAGGAGAGTTTTCAGAGACGGGCACAGGAAGGAGCGAATTGTGTAACATAAGGTAGGAAAGTTTGTATGCTTTAAAAAAATCTTGATAATTTTTCTTGTGGTTAAAATTACGAAGTCTTGTGAAGATACAGAAACATTTACTACTTTGCCTTTGAATTATTTTATTTTTATATGAATGAACAGATTTTAATCTCACTTCAAGGAAAATGCAGGCTAAACAGGAACACAATGAATTTTTCCCATAAATTGACAGTATAATGTTGCATTACTATACTACGTGTGACTGGGAGTGCTTGGAATTTAGGAATACATTGTCAGTAATCCAGCACTTTTCGGCCACCTTACTACTGGTGAAAGGAAGAAACCAGACTTGTTTCTGGACTGGATATAGTCCTGAACAACCAGCTCTAGGTGGCCCTGCTTGAGCAGGCAATTTGGACCAGATGATCTCCAAAGGTCCCTTCCAACCTCAACCCTTCTGTGATTCTGTTCATCCCTGCTTTCCTGTTTAGGTGATGAGATGTTAATTACATTTTCACAAATATTCTATTACAGTTGGGCTGCCTAATTCTGACACTGTCATCAGGTGACTAGGATTCCCTTTTGCTGAGAACAGAAAAGATGTTTGCAGACTTCCTACAAATCATTTTTTCCTTACCAACATTTTTTTTTGTTTTTCATTTTCAAAACTGACTTTTGCATCACATATTCCTACTTACACCTCAATAAGTATAGCTTTAATTACTTATATCAGTGATTTCAGGCACAAGCTATATATATGCATATATATGTATATGAATATATATATGGTTTACCTTTTCCATTCATGTCCCCTACTGGAATAAGGCGACCAATGCAGAGTGGGCGATTCCCATATGGATCACGTACTGCATAGATTATGTCTTTATGCATAATTAGCAATGAATATGAAGTTGGAGTTTCATTCATTAAATTTTTTATTCTGAAATGAGACATAGGTGAACATAATCGTGTGTCACACAAACAGCTGTGTGCATTTACAGCTGCATATCATGCTGAGATTAGACTGCTGTTCTTGATTCTGAAACCCATCCTCCTTACCTTGCTACCCAGTCAGCTGTATCGTCATTTTCTAGAGGAGGTGTGAAAGCCAGCAGCTGGGTGATCAGTTCACTGTCAGAACTGGTCGACAGTCCTACACCATGCCGCATAAGCTTTTAGGACACAAAACAAAAGTGTTGCCAACATTAAAAAAAAATCCCACATAACACTGCTTAGATTTTAATCTAACAACACCTTTGTGCAATGAACAAATGTTTTAAAACATATCAGTCCTTCAGGTGATCAGATCATAAGAATGTCGAATTTCTTCCAACAAACCAACTACATAGAAAGAGCTGGTACAATCATCTATGCCTGGTACTACATTTCTCCCTTTGCATCTCATTCCTTTGCTCCACATGCAACCAAAATTAATATGACCGATATTCAGGGCATAAATTCATATCTGGGCCATTTAATCAGCTTTGTGCTTCTGCTTGCTCTGGGAAGACACACAAAATATAGAAGGAAAAATATGAAATTACCTATAGTAGATACAGAAAGAGATATCAAGGCAGAATGGTGGTTTGGGCACAAAGCAAGAACAGAAAAAAAAAAAGAGGTGTGAAGGGAAGCAGAGTGGGATTAAAAAACTGAAATCCCACAACTTAAAAGTTTGTTAGACCCGGTCAGTCAAATTGTTCTGTCTTGGTGTATTTATGCTTGTAAGGGAACAGAGAATCTGCAGTGTATCTAGCCAACTATTACAACTCATTCAACACTGTATGCATTACAGTTCCTAATTTTTATCTTTAGAAATAATTTTAGATCTCATGTAACTCTGATTCTCCGCTCTCCATCTACATTTCCTCACCACTGTTCTTTTCTCCCATCCATTCATACACTTGTGGCTCTGATTAAAGACGGGCTAGGTTCCTTTGGGCATGCCATACGCTTGCCTCGCTTCAATGCAAGATTATATAGTCTTGCTTTTAGATGGAACATATCATAGAAGACATTTCACAATGAAACATCTGCTGAAATTTAGTTTGGTTCTTTAACACATACCCTTCTAGCCAAACATACTATAAAATCTGGCATTTGTTGGTTTTTGTCCTGACAGTGCTCCTGATTAATTTTGCAAGCCAGAAATACAAATAAAGATAATATTCCAAACTAGACATTTCATACTACCATTACCTCACCTTATTATGCCTCTCCTAACTCTAAGCATATGATTTGCTCCTTCTATCAGCACCCACAAAGGAGCAGAGCTTCAAACCAAGTTGTCTTTTGTTATGGTCTCACTTGATTAACAGGAATGTGACCATCTGTTGTGGAAGGTGGCAAAGCTGAGCTACATGAGCATGCGGACCACACCTGAATGAGAGGTGAAGAGCACATGGCAATAGTGGGAGAAGTTTGTGAGGCTATAATGGCACAGGAATGTATAGAAATTATAGAGGCTGTTAATGTGTTTTGGAGGGCTTTAAGGACTTTGTTTAGCTCCTTAAAAGTAGTTGCTCATGATAAAGCAGAACTTGTAGCTTGTATAATGCTTCTGCTTAACATTGACCGCTTCTCTGATGGGAGGAGAAAGAAGGTTTGCAAAGCCCCAGAGCCAGTTTGAGCCAAGAAAAGGAGACAGTAACAACTAGCCTAAAAAGCAGGAAAGAGAAAGAACCCGCCTAGAGATGAGAAAAAGGCCCCAACGAGAGAGAAGACAACCCCAGACCCGAATATTACTGTTGGACAAGACTATGGTGTGAGGGGCAGGAACTTAGATTGTAAGGGTATAACTGCCCAGGGATTTTAGTGTTTGGGGTCCCTCTTCGGAGGCACCCAGCTCGAACTGTCTAAATTTGTGCACCATAGGTAGAATAAATGACGCTTTTTATGTTGAAGGCCTTGATTATGGATTCTGCTTCAGGGCACCTGGGGTCGAGCCTGTGGGAAGAAGCAGGGCCCGAGGGTGAGGGTGTGTGAGGAGTGGGAAGGGCACCCGCCTGCTGCGAAGGGACTCTGCTCCCAGCGGTTCAGGTCTCAGGTGGTGTGTGGGTGACTCCTTGATTGCTGTGTGAATGCTCGGGCAGCGGCCTTCCATTCTAGAGGATTGGTGAATTATCCCCTGTGACAGTTACAAATGCCTCCCCTCCTCGGGATTTTTTTCCCCCAAAATGATCTATTTTGATTTGAGGGCTCTTTTGCTACCCTGAGCAGTTTGGTATTAAGGAAAAGTCACAGCAAACTTATTGCTCATTGCTGCCTCATACTCGGAAACAACGCCAGAGCCTCCCAAAGGAGATGCTAACCTTCCTCCTGAGTCGTACAGCATTTGTTAGCTCCCCATTGTGTGCCACAGCGATCTTCCCATGAAGAGTCTCTACGACAAAAGGCTGGCAGTTCTGCAGCTCAGAAATTCCCGACGTGGAGTACCTCGTGTGCCCAATACCGAGATTTGAAACGTACAGCTTCTTCAGGCTGTCTGCATTGAAGACGTGATTTATAAGACCCATTCCCTTTGGGAGAAAAAGAAAAAAAGTTCTGTTTGGTTTTGTTTTCCTGGCAACTTCCTCATTTCTCCTTGTGTTTGTTTTCGGTACAGCATTAACACAAGCTACTTTAAAAGAGAAAGGCAAGTACCCAAAAGACATGGGAAAGAAAGAATCTGAATAGGTGTCACAGTGATATATCAGATCCCATTACTCCTGTTTTTAAATAAAGCAATATACATTTCTGTGCTGAGGATCTTCATGGAACGATCTATTCCCTGACTAAAAATATATCTTCTGAAAAACACTACTGCACTCTTGTGTTGTTTAAAAACACCAGAAAAAAGACTGCCGGAAGACAGGCAAAGAAGAAAAATGTTGTGAGAAGGAAATTCTACGTAGAGAATACCTTTTACAAGTTAGCAGTATATTGGATTTACTTTTATACTGGGTCCATGTTAATATTTATTAGATTTCATTGTCATTCTTGCCAATGTCAGAAGCAAAGCTTTTTTTCAAGAGGTTTCATTGTTTACTTAAATCAAACTTTTCATATAGCCAGGCTGCCTTCTGTCTAAAGCAGAAATGCATCAAAACTTTTTAGTCAGCTCTCAGGAGCTTCTTTTGGCAACAAGTACTATGCGGAGACAGTTGAGCAGCAAGAATACTGCACAGAGAGTAGAAATTAAGACTGTATTCCAGGCCCTCCTACAAACTCCTGCTTCTGCTGCTGCCTGTGGAAAATATTTACATCCTTCTCTGCAATGTTTCCCCATCACATGTGGTAATTGTGATATACATGATAGCACACATGATAACACTCCTCTAGCACCTTCAAAGATACACAGGAGAGGTCTGAAGCTGTGGATGGTTCATAACCTGTGCTGTAGCTACAACAAGAGAGTGGGATGTGACAGGAAGGATGGAAATCAGGTGAACTGTTTTCAGAGCTCAACTATAAGAGCTTAAAGAAAGCTCAGCTTTAGGGTATGTTCTGCTGTGACTGCTATGGAGTCAGACCACCAAGAGGCTGTGGTTGCACATGTGGTTTTAGGATACTTACTATCATGTTAAGAAGTTACTGCCTCAAACTGGTATAAGTTTGCTTTAATTGTTTAGCAAACTTTATGCCAGATAATTATCATCTATTGTCTCACAGATGGCATAAAGGTAGTCTAGAGTCTACGTCATGTGCTCATATATGTACAGAAATGCAACCATGCACTCTTACTTTACTTAGGCCATCTTTATCCTAACAGGAGATTGGGCAGTTCACAGGTCCAGTATTAATGGATGTGGCCATGTTAAGCATTGCAATAGCTTAAACAAGCAATGTTGTTTTAAACCAGATTTGGTTACACAAGTACCTAATATTTTAATTGCAGTTTGAAATATTCCTCTGATTTAGATTGTGCTGGTATGGGGGGGCAAATGTGAATTACATCAGTATGAAAAGTTCCCAATGAAGACAATCTTATGTCTATATTAATACAAGGCCTGGTACATGCCAGAACATGGGTCTGATGAATAGCTACTTTAATATATTTTTCTGCATATCCAAGTGTGAAACAATCAGCAAAGTCCTTCTGCTACTGCTATCGCTATGACTATACAATAGATTTAAGTTTTTCCACATCCTGAGTTATTAGAGCTACGACAGTAATGTTTTGTTATACAAATCTAGCTGAAAGGCTTTGACAGACCAATCTGGACAGACCAATCTGGACCAAGTCTTTCTAGGAGAGTTTAAAACAAAGGATTAATAGCCTTTGTCAAGGGCTATTAATCCATGGTCAAAGGCTGGCAACAATCAGAAGGGAACACATACCCATGCATTAGGTGTTCCAGTTCGTACTCTTAATATATGTATTGCCTTAAACTGTTGACAAAAGTGAGTTTGCACGGAAGCATTGGGTAGTAAAGCAATGTGGTGAGAATGGGCACCTTTTCCATCCTGTTGTCTCTGCTATGAAGAAGAGTCAGTTTGGAGGACAAATGGAATCAGTAGCATCTTAGCTGCTGACATTTTTATGGACTAGTTTACCAGTCAGAGTCCTAAATATATTTTCACGAGTGTAACAGACCCAAATGTTTGTTACATTAGCACCACTTCCAAGATTAAACAAGACATTTAAACTGTACTCCACAGGCTCTTTATTACACTGTGGTTATTACAGATTTTAAAAATGCTGTAGCTGAGAAACATATTCCAAGGATAAAAGAAACCATCACATGCTCTGCAACTCTTAAAATATCAAAGCTGGTATGATGAGATGGCCAATTAAATTCTTAGCATGACAGCTAAGTATTGCAGCTCAGTAACATGGAAACACTGCAAATTATGATATAAGCTCCTGGAAGTTCATTCTGAGAAACTCTTTTTACTATGGGATATTTACAGCAGCCCACTTTAAAGGAAGCTGGAATTCCTGTAAACTTTAAGGAAAGCTGAAACCCAAGTAGGAGCAGGAATGAAGAACAGGTAACACTGTGCTGAAGTTGAGAAAAGCTGCTTTTAAGAGTGTGTCTATGTGTGTGTGTGTGTGTGTGAATCAGATAGGAGGGGGGAAATACCTGAAGAAGTGACAAACATGATGCTTGATGAGATGAGATTTTGCATGAGGCATTGAGCAGTCATGCATAGATATACATGCTGCTGCAGCAAAGCAGTTCTTGCTCTTGGGACTCATTTGAACAGTTTAATTAATCTTCCTCAGAGACCTCTGAACATGAAGACAAACTGCTTTCTGACTGCAGTCAGAGAACACACATCAAGAATTGCCCCATTGTTATTTTGCTGATGTAGTTTTATTTTCTGTCCTTCCTTATTTCCTTCCTTCCTGCTCTTCTTCATTTTTCTGCTCTTCCAGGATGGAATAGGCTGATGATTATTTTTTTCCTGATCACTATTCAATACAGAATGAGCAGAAACATCCCCAGAGCGTGCAGGTATTCTCCTGGCATAATACTTCCGAGGCTACGGCCATTTTATGTCTTTTAACATCCCCTGGGATTCTCTGAGCTCGAGAAAGACTGTGTGACCTTCTCAGGCCTCCATTCAATCTTTTATTCTGTTTATTTTTACCTATGGGTAAAGCAGCTTCCACTTCCTTGAGTCTCACTAATGCAATAATTAGTCATCCATTTGCTTGTGCATAGCCTGTAACTGTGTTTCTTTTCTTTTGATCTCAAGTTGCATGGGTACTCCAGAGTTAACACCTTAGGTGTGGGCTGACTTTGGTAAGTAGTTTTTGTGACATCAACAGCCTGATCTGGATACTTCTGTGTGTCTGCCACTGTGTGCATGGAGACACCCAGCAGGGTAACATTGGTGGATTTGTTTTAAACATGCACTTAAGACAGAAATTGCACAAATGACAGAATTAGATGCTATCACTGACAAAACCAAAACAGTCCACCAAAACGTGTTACTTTCTCTCTCATTCTGTTTCCTAGCTGAAACAAACTTTCATGCATCTCAGTTAGGCATCTACAAAACATTCATTTACATTTTACCTTGTGCACTTTGAATGCCTGGGATGACTCTCCATCACTTGTCACAATTCCAGCACTCTCCTGGCCCCTATGGACAAAATATAATGAACATAAAGCACTGAAATGCTTGGAATGAAATGCTTTAACGTACAATGGATTGGTGGTTTTTCATCTGTTCTTTACAACATGAAATTTTAATGTAAGGTTATTTGTTCTTTTATTTTACAGGCTTGTAATCAAAACTGGCTTCTTGCCCATGTTATGCTTTATTTCAAAACAGTCACATAAGGTTTGTGCCTAAGCCCACTGAATTCAGTGGGAATCTTTCCACTAATAAGCACTGGCTCAGCCCTATTTCAGTGTGGGCATAAAATAACAGCAGATGCTTAATCTGAAAAGCCACTTTGCAGTGATAGACTAGGCTCGAGTAGTAGGCTCTATAGCACTACTCTATTTCTGCTTTGGTTTGGGGAGGGCTATTAAGAAACTGATGGTTTTGCCTAAGGGAATGAATACCTTGTCTCTTCCACTGATCACCTATGTGGAAGCTTTTGCATTCTTGCACTTAAGCAGTCAAGCTAGCATTTACACCTCTAAAAGGTATATGGGCCCTCTGATAAAAGTGTTTGAGCACATAAAACTAGTATCAGGCATCACAGCTTCTGAACTCAAGCAAAACAAGCCTGGTGTACAGCATCACCGCAAATGGAAATACTTCTCTTACAGCAGATGAGCCTCAGGCTGGCAGTTGTGCTTTGTTGAGCAGAAGAGCTGTATCAGCTGAAATGACGGAGTTTTCCCTAGCCTGCTCCCTGCTCTACCCAGCCCGGTGGACCCCCCAGGCTCGGTCCCTGGGTGCACATCCAGCCCACGGGCAGGCAACGCGGGCAGAATACTGCACAGCTGCCCAAAGTTTGTAATTCAGTCCTTATCCATTGAAAAGGTATGTTTTGCAGACTGGATTTTTTTGTGGGTAATAGTGCAGGCTGCTCCTGTTCCACTCTCATATATAATAATGACTAAAAAGCAAAATTTTCTTCTTAATAAAGGAAACATTTAGAATATTTTTAGAATATTAGATGAAGATGCTAGGGTGATTAGACTGGCTTAACTCAACTGAAGTCACTGGAATTATTTAGTATAAGCAACAATAAAATTGGGCACAAAAAAAATCTACAGAATGGATTCTAAACTACAACCGCCCATGCTCATTACAAATTTTCTCCAGTTCCTAAAATCCCTTTATCGGACACTAGCCCCAGTTGTACGTAAAGCAAAACTGTCAAGAACATTCGCTTACAGAAAATGAAACCAGCCAAACTTCACCCATACCTGAATGAATTTAACCTGTTATTGACACAGATCTTAAAAGAGAAAAAACAGAGATGAGGACATTCTTAAACACATTTATTTTAACTCAGTAAGATGTCCCACCTATAAACACAAAGCCTGGTAGTAAAACTTAAGGGTTGGTACAGTGCATTCAGCAACTTTTAATTCCCATGCTAATATTACAGGCAATTTCCATTGAAACACTGACACTCTCCCTTTAAACATCATCAATAGCGAGAACGAGGGAAGCCCCCATCCTGATCGCAAGGCCCTGGCCAAGTCGTTGGATTCCATCTTTCCTGTAGCACTAATGAAAGAAAAGGAAGCTCGATTTCACGACCCCAAAGCTTACACAACGTTACGAATTTAGTCAGATTTTTAAGGATGCAAGCTTTTTATCAACGCATCACCAATAACCAATGAGTATTAGCGTTAAAAATGCGTACAGGCGACCATCGGTTCAAACCCAAACACTACACGGACGAGGAGCTGCGCAGCAGGATGATCCTGTGCGCCTTCCCGTCGCCCCGACCCCCGCCGACTTGCAGCTTGCTGGGGAGGCTCAGCCCCAGGGCTCCCGGCTGGCACCCCCACGGCAGGGAGGAGCTGCCCCAAGGCTGGGGTGGGTTTTGGGGTTTTTTTTTGGGGGGGGGGGGGGGAGGAGTGGCGTTGTTTTGTGGTTTGTTTTTTTTTTTAAAGCGACGAGATGGTGGGAGACTCGTGTTTTCCCCCTCTCCTTACCCCGCAGCGCTCGTACCGTCGCCCTCCTTGCCCAGAAGGGTTAAAGCCAACCACGTCCAGGGGCCGCCCGTCCCCCCTCCCGCCCCAGCTGCTTTATTCGCCGGCCTCTAATACGGAGCCTGCTTATTTGGCAGTTTCTCAAGTTACTCCCCTCAGGCAGCTTGAGCCAGTAAAACTAGATCCTTTCATCTCGGCGGAGCTTACTGACAACCAGCCGTCTGGTTTCCTAGGAAACAAAATCTTGGCTAGAAATAGTGAATCATTTCCAGGTCACTTTCAACATGGAGAGTGGAGCAGGGAAGCATTGGACTGAGGAGGAGGTTAAAGCCTTGTTAAGCGTCTGGTCGGAAAAAAATATCAGAAAGCAACTCCACGGCACCCTGAGGAATAAAGGAATATTTATCTACATTGCCAAGAGGTTGCAGGAGTTAGGAGTTTGCAGGGACTGGAAACAGTGCCGTGCAAAGTATAAAAATCTGAAGTACGAATACAGAACGGTTAAGTATGCCCACAACTCTGGGGATGTCACTAAAACCATGAAGTTTTTCCATGATCTGGATGCCATATTGCGATATGAACCTCTCACACAATTAGCAGCAGAAGAGAACGGCAGGTGTTCTGCGACTGAGACGCAGCTGAACACAAGCCCCACAACAGACAGCACGCAAGGTAAAAACCTGTTTTTGCTTCTATTCTTCTCTCTTTGCTTAAAACCCAAAGCGGACAAAACCGAAGCCTGAGTTTGCTCGAGCCGAAGCGGAGGTTGCGCAGCCCCAACAGCACTGTTAGAACTGACTTGATGCACTCCTCGCGCAGGGGAATAAAATGTTAGCACCCACCAGTGTCGAAGTCTGTAAATACAGCGTAATTCTAGCAAAATCATGCTAACGGCTTGTATTGCAGCCTCGGTGAGTACTCGCTGGTGTCAAGGCTCCTGCGCCGAGTTGAAATGTTAAATTGAGAAAAGCTGTTTTCTTTCCCTTTGACATTCATTTGCAGTACTTTGGAAGGAGGTTTTGTAGAGCTCCAATTCAGATGTAAACTTAAAGGAAGAGGAAAGTAAAGGTTGAAACGGTCATGATTTTTAAAAAGTCGTTAGTTGTGATACAAGTGCATTTTAGGATTTTTATTCTTATTTCTCTGCAACTGAAAATTTGGGTATGATGGCTAAAGGTAAATGAAGTTACTTTGTAAGTGATTCAACTTAAACATCTCAAATATTTAATAACTTCTCATTAAAAATTGTAATGTATTGAGGAAAGTAAAAATCATCATGTTTACCAGACTGTTTTGAGGCAAACCAAATGAATACAACTGCTTTTATTCTGGAGGGGTTTTTACCAAATTATTTGCATCTCTTGTTTTATTCAGCCCTCTCTACATCTGCATTTAAGCTGTGCTTAACATTTAATTAGGGTCAATCTGCTATTTGACATCACTCAAATCTCCTTGTCACATCCTAAATGTCACTGAAGCATAAGCCCCAATAATAGTTACAAGTACCAAAACGAGGTGGCTAAAAAAAGAAATGCAAAGTTTAGCCGTTTGTTCCCACAGTATGTGTCAATTTACATTAATTACGATTGTGAATCTTTTTAAGAAAACAAAAACCTCGACGTTAGTATCAGAGGAGATTGCCAAAGGCACAGAAAGGAGCTGGACATCTAGCTTGCTCTTGTACCATTCCACGTCTCCCTCTACAATGCTGTTTTACAGGTCTGAGGAAAAGAAATAGCCATTTTTCTTGTCACTGTTTACCTTAACGAAAAGCTTGACCTTAATTTGTCATCCCTAACAGAAAGCCTCTAATCTGTCAAAGTCCCTTTAAATTAAAATGGCAATTTTATAATATTTTAACATGTGCTCTCTGCACTGTGTATTACAATCCATTTTTAAACTTGCAGAACTGAAGCTAATAACAAGCTGTTACACTTCTGAGGACCACATGAAACTAAGATAGTGTCCTTCATCTGAGGATCCGCCCTTAGATTGCCCTCTGTGTTTTGATGTAGTTTGCACCGTTAATACTAATTCTCATCTGCCTTACACCTCTAGCAAGTTTAAATCAGAGAAGGTTCATTTCGGTTGTGAATCCTGAACTAGAATATATATTTTAAAAACTACCCCTGCGTGAGACACACCTCATTTTGAAGCAGGAGGACAGTCTGGTTTTAAAGGTGAGAAATGTATCGCTTAAATGCACAAGCATTTCTGTTACTCCCTTAAAAACAAACAAACAGACAATTTTTATGGATAAACAAAAATTAAATGCAACTAGCTGTAATAATGCAACACTAATGGTAAGGATTTAAATGTGAAGATTTTCACAACAGCCATAATTCAGCCACAAAGAAAACACACTGAGATAGAAGTGTGTCCTGCAGCTATGCGGAATGCGTACATCCTTAACAAGGGGCAGAGAGAACAGCTGTGAGAACATCAACTTTTGTCACTTAAGAATACAAGTCAAGCAAGTAACGCTGTACTAGAGGCCCAGTCCTTTTCCGACTGCCGTCAGAGTTGCCACGTCTGCCCAGCTCAGTACTTTCAAGGGCGCTTGTAAGGCATCAGTGGCATCCGTGGCTCTGCAGCTGATGCTCCCAAGTTTGTTTTGTGGGGGCAGAGCTGGCCGTGTCGCTCCCACAGAAGGAGAGGCGATTCCTCCCCGCCGCAGAGGCGAAGGCAGGCTGCTGCCCCGGCCCCAGCAGTGAACCTGACTGGTGGCCTGCGGGAGAAGGAAGGGGACTGCTTTAATGGGGTATCGGGGGGAGAAGGGCACCGCTTTGATGGGGGTATCGCCCTCCGTAAAATAAACTGGCCAAAGTACATTTGCCTCCCTGCAGGTCACCTCCTGGGCTTCTCCCTTTCAACCCAGAGCGTAATGGGAGGAGAGGGGAAAATGGTCCCTGCCCTCTTTAGAAAGAGGCCAAGAAGCCTTATTTTGACCGAGCTGGAGGAACGAAGGATGTCTAGGCTTGCGGCTTGGGTAGCAAAGACAAAATGCTATCAGCAAAC